TCTCTCTCTCTCTCTCTCTCTCTCTCTCCCTCTCTCTCTCTCGTAGTCCGCAGATACTGAGAAGTCAGGTAGTGAGAGGGTGAGGAAGAGATGGTGGACTTAGAAGAGGAAGAAGAAGAACTCTCTCTCTCTCTCTCAGTCCGGTACTAACCTGTGAAGTTGGTGCCTTGATGCAGGTACCTTGAAGATGAAGCTGGAGCTATGGCGCCACAGGTAACTCTCCCTGGCCTCCGCCAGCCATCTCTCTCTCCCACCTACTCTAGCTCTACCAGCGCCCAGTGCTGAAGACTACTACTACTGCTACTAGCGCCCAGCGCTGAAGACTACTGCTAGCGCTAAAGCTACTCCTGCAGCGCTCCTCCAGAGTGCTGCTGCCGAATCCTGAAGACTACTACGGCCTCAGCCTCTGACTGCCCGTGAAGTGCATGGGAACTCCCTATGTACTACCTCGGCCTGCCTCCTGACTGCCTGCAGCTGCAGGGCGGGGCAGTCCAGGAGGCCGCTCTTGCCAATGCCGAGGTGAGCCAGGGCCTGCCGCTGCAGCTCCTGCTGAGGCTGGCGTGGGAACAGGCCAAAAATAGCCTGTTCCTGAAACCCTGGTTTGGTGCCTGAGTGTTAGGGCAGGTTGATCTTATGAGGGCCCGAAAGTGGCCCTCCGTTTCAGGATGAGAAGACTCAGGGCCTGGAAGGCCCTGTTTGAGGCTTAAACGACATAGGGCCTGCAGGCCCTCGTTTTTCAGTCTTTCAGGCTGAAACGACATGGGGCCTGTAAGCCCTTGTTTCTAGGCTTTTAGGCTGATACTGAGGGACAGGCCCTGCAGTGCTGTGTGGCTGCGCAGTATGCCACATTGGACCTGCAGCAAAGAAGAAGATCAGTAGAGACAATGCATGACCCCGATTGTCCACAGAACGCGATGAGGTTCAGGCAGAGGCAGAAAGCAGAGGAGGCCAAGCAAAGCAGAGGGAGGATCACTTGTCAAAACGGATTAGAGGAGGTAATAGCTGAACCCCCTGTCAAATAGGACCAGAGGAAGTAATAGCTGTGCATAAGAATTCGGTAGAAAGAAAAGCAGGGGGCAGAGGTATGTTGTTCGTGGGCAGGATGGTAAGTGGTGCTCGAAGTGGGTACATAACTGCCTGTCATTTTTTTCAGCTTGCTGGTAGAAAACAGACCTGACACCTTGCAGTGTAGAAAGGGGTGTTCTTGGAAAGGCAATTCTGATGGAAGAAGTGGGTCCGAACGAGGGGAGGGGGGCGGCTACGTTGGCAGAGAATTATGTGTGTGTGTTATTCACCAGCAATGTTGATGCTTGTGTTAATGTCAGTGGTTTCGTTATGATCCAGTTCTCGAGAAGCTGCTGTTTGGCTAGGTGCTCGCATCAGAGGACGGCCGGTAGGGGGGGGGCGGGGGAGGGGGGCGGCTCACTGGCTACGTTGTCAGAGAATTATATGTTTGTGTGATTCACCAGCAATGTGGATGCTTGTGTTAATGTCAATGTGGTTTCGTTATGATCCAGTTCTCGAGAAGCTGCTGTTTGCTAGGTGCTCGCATCAGAGGACGGCCAGTAGGGGGGGGGCAGGGGAGGGGGGCGGCTCGCTGGCTACGCTGTCAGAGAATTATATGTGTGTGTGATTCACCAGCAATGTTGATGCTTGTGTTAATGTCAATGTGGTTTCGTTATGATCCAGTTCTCGAGAAGCTGCTGTTTGGCTAGGTGCTCGCATCAGAGGACGACCAGTAGATGGGGTTCGCAAGCGGCTGTTCCGAGGGCCAGGAGGGGAAAAGCTGTCAAAAAAGCGACCGTTGAAGAAGCGATTGGCTACTGCTGATGGATCAGGCAATACGGGAAGGCAGCAGTTTGGGGAAGGAAATGTCCGTTCTCTTGACCGGAGGGTAAACCATTCTGAAGATGCTTCTAGATCCAATCCTGAGGGAAATCAAAGGTGAAGAACATTGTTATCTGTCTCCATAGGTTTAGGTTATCTGCTGTATGCTAGGCACCTTCTCTGTCGCTACCTGTGAATCCTTGTTTCGTGATTTCCCCTGCACTCGTCTTGGCCTCCCCAAACCCTCAATATCCAAAGAATGTTTGGATCTTTTAGAAAGCCTTTACTCTTTGCGCTAGTTGTATGTTTTTTTCTTAGCTCTCTTCATTGTTTTGTCTCTGCCTAGGCTACCACATGTCCGGGACCTAGATGAGTGGGCTCTTTTCCTGTTCTGGAAATCTTTGACAACTTGATGCAAGGAACCAGTCTATGAGAACACGGAACTCCTGACCAACACAAACTCATTGAATAACATACATGAAATTGCAATAGCCTGTTCATTATGCCTCGTTGAATGACTAAGGGGCCCACAGGCCTAGACCCGGAAGTCCTGACCAACACAAACTCATTGAATAGCATACTTGAAATTGCAATAACCCGTTCATTATGCCTTGTTGAATGACTAAGGGGCCCACAGGCCTAGACCCCAATTTCTGTCCGAGAGGACGAAGGGGCAGAAGGCCTTCGGAAATAACCCAGGGCCTGAGCGCCCGACAGTTGACGTCGGTCAACTGCCTGAGGCCCTACAGTCAAAGCCAAGACGGACCCAGCCCAGGCCGACGGTCAGACACACTCACTCGTTTGTATGCAGGTACCAAGACAGCATCAGGACCAAGTGGAAGTCTGCAACTGTACGCAATCCAGGCCTTCGTCTGTGAGTCAATCTGAGTCACCGTGGGTGGGAGACCTGAGGCTGGTCAGCCTCGTCAAACATACATAAGGCATGGTCTCCAGGGAGTCAACATTCACTCTTGCTGTGCTGGCTTGACGCTGGCACTGTGGACGACGACGCGGGACTGTGGCGACATGCTGGCGCCTTCTTTCTGAGCGCCAGCTTTGGCGCATGCCACCTGTCTCCACTGCTGATGTGGCGCATGCCACCTGTCACCATTGCTGATGTGGCACATGCCACCTGTCTTCATCGCTGACGTGGCACTGACCACGCTGTCTACATAGGGTGATTGGTTGCGACAAGGAGGGAGATCGGGATCTGTGGTCATAGATTCTCTCTTCCACCCTCTTACTGTCTATCCCCCCTCCACTCTCTTCGTCTACTGGTAACGAGGCATTGTTTCAGAGGTCACATTCATGATTATTGGAGACGTTGTCCAGATCTGAGTTGTCTCGCATTTCGACGTCTGATGAGTATCTTCCAATCTGGGTTCATTACAGTTTGGTATCGGAGCATACCTCCTTCGTCGCAATCTGCTGTCAGGCGCCACTTGGTGCACAGGTAAGTGGGAGGTGCCACATGTGTCAGGGATGAAACACGTTTATAAATGCGCGCGATTTATATCACAGGTCTAGACATTGAGTACCACACGTGCGTGCAGCCTCCCTTGAAGATGATGACGTGGACACTCTGAAGAAGAAGACAGCGACATTTCTTATGTTAAGAGGGCCTTTATGAATTAAACCCAGACGAGTACCCTAACAGCAAGGGGTTCTGTCGGCCAGAACTTCAATTCGCGAGCAGCAACTCAAAAGACAAAGTTCCCTGAGGCATATGTCGCATCCATAATGAAATGAAAAGTCGTTTCGAACAGTCACAAACAGGTCCTGCACGAACAGGTATCGGACACAGTTTTCAAGACCGAGTTAGGGTCATGTCTCCTCGATAAAAAGTCATGTTTGTTTGGCAATAAGTCAAAGGCTACAGTCCCAGTTCAGTCATAATTCCATGAGTCAGTCCTGATTCAGACCAGGAGTCCAAAAGACAGGCCTGATGGCCCAAAGCAGCAGCAGACCATGGGAAGAGACACTGGGTCACACACTTTGCAACAACGGGTACTGGGCAGGAGTCCCAGGGACACTTGAGGCTGAACGCAGGCCACGCCAGACCAGTCCAGCACTATAAAGGACTGGCCAGCCTCTCATTTGCCAGATGCTCACTTCGCATAGAGTGTGGAAGTGCCGTGGCACTTGTGCGCTGGATGTGTGTGAGCTGCGCTAGGCTGAAGAGCAGCGCTATGTGGGAAGGAAGAGAGTGCTGGCTAGAGGGAAGGCAGCCATACCTGCGCCAGCGCTAGTTAGTATATTAGTAGGGATAGTCAGTAGGAGATACCAGTGAGTAGTATTCAGAGTAGATCCTTGTGTGATACGGAGTGTGCATGCATGATGATTGAGAGTAGACCAGGACTACAGACATAGAGGGAGAGAGAAGAAGGCAGACGAGAGAGGGGGAAGTGTGAGCAATGGTGGCACTTACCTGTTGAGCGCTGTTGTTGACATTGGCAGCTGGCGCTCAGGCTTGGAACTCATGTTGATCGAAAGAAGACTTGTGCAGTAACCCTGTTCAGCAGCAGACCGGGGCTCAGAACGTTGCCGCCGGTAAAGCACAGACTCAGTTGTCTGTGCTGGGCTATGTGACCGAGACATGCCCAGCCTGAGTCTGGCGAGGAGGCTGTGTGACCGAACGCAGCACAAAGGAAATTCAACAGTCAAAGTCAACTGTAGAGTCAAAGGTACCGCGCCCAGGCCTATGGTCGGATACATTCACTTGTTGTGTGCAGGTACCCAGACAGCATTCATGGCGGGAGGAATACAGTTTCTGGCCAATCTGGGCCCTCCTTCACATCGGGATCTGGATGGTGCAGTACTTCAGCACCCGGGGTCCGGACCCCGCATCCACGCTATTTAAGAGTTGACTTCCTGGCTGGAGAATATTCAGTCTTGCGTGAATGCTGACTTCATGCGTGGACTTGACGCTGTTGCTATGCTGCGACATTGCGACATTGGCTTGACGCCGGCTATATGCTGGCAGAGGAGGACGGCAAGGCGCTGCTGGCTGGCAAGGTGCTGGCTGGCGATGGTCTTCTGGGCATGCTGACGTGGCAGCTGCCACGTGCCGTTGCTGACGTGGCCGCTGCCACCTGTATGTGATTGATGACGTGGCGGGCTGCGAGATTGATGAGGCTGTTCTGATTCTTCCTCACTTCGGAAGGGGATCAAGACTGTGGTTATCGAGGATACGTACCTGGTTGATGACGATACTCTCCATTTGCTGATGTAGACAGATTGACGTGCCAGGTGGCACCTTGAGGAAGAACTTCAGACATTGTATTCAGTCTATTGATTGATGAGGTGGCGAGGAGGAGGAGGAACCCGAAGTAGAAGTGGGCTGTTGTCTTCTTCTCTCTCCTTTGTCTATTCTCCCTCTCTCCTCCTTYGTCTGTGTATGATTCTCACCTCATTCTATCATCACACACATTTGCGATTGTTTGTCATTCATCAGCAGATCGATAATCATATGGACTGGTAATGTTGACGAGTATCATCACCTCTGGGCTCATTGCAATTTGGTATCGGAGCAGATCTTCCGATAGTGTGACGGAGACTACAACGACAATTGGTGGCATCTACATTGAAGTGGCTGACGTGGACAAGAGAGCGCACGTCAGATTCTGACGTGGCATTAACGAGGCATTGACGTTGCCTTGGTATACATCCCCGATGCTGACATGGCATTGAGGTGTCATTGATGTTGCCTTGGTCCATATGTCCGACGCTGACGTGGCCGGTGGATGTTAGCAGATTGACGATGTGGCATTGCTGACTCACGGTGAGATAAGAGGCTGACGTGGCAGTGTCATATTCAGTTACCCGGCTTACGTGGCGTGTTGGTACCGCTCCTGACGAGTACCCCCTCGATGATGTTGACTGGATTACGGTGCTGACGTGGCAGACAAAAGTGCTGCTGTGTTGGCACTCCAGGGGATATACGACTTCGGGGCAGGCTGGTATTTCGATTTCAGCATACATTGCTGACGTGCACCCCATTGATGATATTGATTAGACCTGCTGACCTGGCATACTCATCGAGTTGCTGAGTTGGCAGGCCAGGGGTGACACGTGGCAGGCACGATCGTGCCTAAGTGAGGACAGCATTCTGATGACTGAAGCGGCACGGCAAGAAGACTGACGTGGCTGTGGTGCCGAACGTCAGATTGTGTGCTGGTCACACAGGACAAAGAAGGACGAAACA